TACATAAAGTTGTTATTATGAATATTATCATGTTACAGATGAAGAAACCGTGGCCCAGACAGGTTCCACACCTTGCCCCGGTTTGCACAGATAGCAGGGGCACAGCTGGGACCCCCAGGTCCCCGCATCCCAGCTGGGCCGCTGTCCACTCTCTGAACTGAGTCCTGGGGTGGCTTCACCAGGAGCCCAAACACTGGGAGCCTAGGGGTCAGGGTTGTCCAAGCTTGTCCCAAAGCTCACGTTGACTCCTGTGTTTGGCTTTCTCTGGAATCGACTGTAGGTACCACTGGGAGAAGCTCCTTCCCAGGGAAGCCTGGGGAGCCCCTCTAAGGCTGTTCTCCCCAGTATTTTATCCTCAGCCCCTTGAGGAGCTTTGGCCGCTGGACGGCCAGAATCCCTCCACCTCCCCTTTTCTGCTGTTATTGTTTAGTTATTTCAGTTGTGACCCTCTTTCCACAATCCCATTTGGGGTTTTCTTGGAAGAGATCCTGGAGTGATTTGGCATTTCTTCTCCAGCTCATTTTACAGATGAAGAAACCAAGGCAAACAGGGTTAAGTGACTTGCCCAGGGTCACATATGTAGTGTCAGATGTGAACTTAGGTCTTCCTGACTCCCAGCCTGGTTCTCTATCCACTGCATTGCCTAGCTACCCTTCCTCTGCTTGCTAGACAGTATTACAAGGATGGACTGAGATGTCCTGAATTAGAGCAGACCGGTGAAAGGTGAGTGGGCAGGTGGGTTACTGGAGGGCCTGTGGGTTGGGAAGGTAGGGCAAGAATTTCCCCCAGGAAGGCCCGAGTATCAGGAGGCAGAAAGGACACAGGCCTGGGAGAAAAGGTACAATGCGGGTTTCTTGAAGGTGGGTTCTGCTTTTAGTTTCTCTCTTCATCTTTATCACTTTGTACACAGTAGGCAGTTAAGGAATGGCTTTTGAATGAATTAGTGAATGGATGGCTGAATGAATGAATAACTGAATGATTGAATAGAAAATGAATGAATGAATGAGTAACTGAATGAATGGATGAATGGATAATTGAATTAATGAATGGATGGATGGATGGATAAATAACTGAATGTATGAATTAATAGGTGAGTAACTGGATGGGTGGATGGAAGGATGGATGGATGGATGGATAGATGGGTGGATGGTTGGATGGAAAGATGGATGGATGGATGGGTGGGTGGATAGGTGGATGAATAAGCTTAATCTCCAGGCCTCAGAACAGAGGATAGGCCTATTCTCTGAACCTGTAGGTCCTGTAGACCTGAATCTGTTCAGGCCTCAGAGCACACTGTGGGAGTGAAGGGGTGAGGAGGGATGTTCTGAGAAACCGCAGAGAACAGAAGCTACTGAGGCAGAGCCTCCTGGTTGGTCCTCCCCAAGTCCATGCTGGCCAGAGCTCCCCCAGAAGCTTGTGTAGAGCAGTAGCCCAGGGGCTCCTATCTTACTGTTCAAGAGATGGACCTCAGGCTCTGCTTTCCTTATGGGCTATGCCCAGAGGGCTCTCTCCTCCTCCCCCTCTTTTTCTTGAGCCCTCTCTGTGGTCCGTAGTCCAGGCCCTGGGAAGCAAGCCACTTTTAGGACTCCAGGACGCTCCAACCCTCTCTCCTTTCTCAGGGGCTCCCCTGCAGCAAGGTGAGGGAAGGATAACTACAGAGAGGAAACTGAGAGAGAGGTAGTGGGAAAAGGGGAGAGATAAAAGAAGGAAAGAAAGATTGGGGAGAAGTGAAAGAAGAGGCAAAAGGAGAGAGAAAGAGAAAAGGAGGAGGGAGAAAAAGAGAGAGAGAAGGAAGGGGGAGGAGGAAGAGAAAGCAAAGACGGAGGGGCTCTTGGAGATCTTCTGGCCCACCCCCCATCATTTTACAGAGGAAGAAAGTGAGGCCCAGGGAAAGGAGGCAGATTCCTCAGTCACACAGACATGCCCTTTGCAGGGGCAGGACTGTGATTTCCATATAATGGATGAGGAAGCAGCCTTAGAGGGGTCACCTTACCCATAATGAACGAAAACACATCTATTTATACTAAGCTTGGATTTGAACTCTGGTCTACCGACTGAAAGCCCCATTGTTCTTCTCTCCTATGTGCTCCAGATCTCCCCTCAGGGGAATAAATCTCTTACTAAGTTAAGTGTGGCTTCTAGAAGGGAGATGATTGTGAACATCTGACGCAGGCACCACCCTGTCGAGTTGGAGAGAGGAGGAGAAGCCCTGGAGATACAAGCTAGGACCAGGGGGCATCTTAGGCCTGGGGGCCAGTTTGTGCAAACTCACCGAGATGAGGAATGGAGAGCTGGGTTCTGGGTACAGTGTTAGCACTCTGTTTTGGCTAGAAAAGGAAGAATTCAGAGGAAGGCTGGAACAGTGAGGGGGAACCAGGTTGTAGAGGATCTCACCCCTACCCCCACTAGTTAGTTTGTGCTTTATAACAGGCAATGGGAAGCCCCTGAAGGCTCTTGAGCAGGGGAGTGATGTGGTCAGACTTGTGCCTTAGGAAAATGATTGACTAAGAGAAGACCTGATAACCTGAAACTACTTTGTCAATTCAAGGTTTTTAAATTTCGATGCTTTTAAATGAATTCGTATTTTATGCATCAAAACAGCATCTACATATATTTGAAAACAGGAAAACAAGTAATGGGAGAGAGATTACTGATGGAGCCTACAGAAAATCTGTTTATTTATAGGTTGACATTGTCATTGGAAGGCTCCTTGTAATCACCCCAAGGCACCCAGGGGTCTACAGGTTCTAGGTTGGACCTGTCAGGCTAGACAATTTCTTAGGTCTCTTCTGTTCTTGGGCCTAGGATTTGGTGACTTGCTCTGCTTGGCCCCCAAGAACAGACCTAGGAGCAGTAGGGGAGTAGTAGATACTAAGGAGAGGCAGACTGAGGCTTTCCTGTGATAGCTGTCTGGAAAGGTAATGAGTTCTTCATCACTTGTTGGAAATGTCATATGTCGCAGGGATGGGTGATTCAGACAAGAGTCGGGCTGGATGGTCCAGAAGGTAGCATCTAGCACCGAGCCCGGGAGTCTGATTGCGAGGGGGAAGCTTGCCTCCTGGCTAGGTTGTCACAGTTATCTGTGACCTCCAGAATCCTCAGGGTCTTGTCTCCCACCTTCATGTTGTTGGACGGGCCCTAGCCTGTGGCAGGCTATCGGGGAGAATGAACTTCAGAAGCAGACATCCCCTTCCCCCTCCCCCAGGGCTTGTGCCCTATTTGTCCATTTCTTGACTCCTGAGAGCGATCCTGGCCTTGGACACAGAATGCTGGCTGGGGCTTGGGTTCAGATCTTCCCACTAATCTCCCAGGAATGTTTCTTTCCCTATAAAGTAAGAGGTTGGGATAAATGGTCCTTGGGGTCCCTTCTAGCTTGAAATTCATGATCCTGGCTCCTGGTCCTTGACCCCATTCCTGGAGTGGAGAATTTTACATTTTGATCATGATAAAAAGTCCCATTTCTTGACCACTTTCCTCAATACTGCCCTGGAAGGGAGGTGGTGCCTGGGTTACCCTCTTCATGTGGTGGATAAGAAAACAGTCACGAAGAGGCTCAGCCTTGTCCAAGGTGACACAGAAAGAAAGCTGCAGGGCTCATATTTGAACCCCTGTCCTTGAACTTTGGGTTCTGAGCTCTTTCTGGTCACTCACACCAACAGAGCGAGCCCCCTTGGACCCTTGTGGCAGAGACAGGATCCTGGCTCCTACAGACAATGCCCGGGCAGCACCAGGTCTGACTGCTGCAGCTGAGCTGACCGTATTCCAAGCACCAGCCCGGAGAAAGGCTGTGTATCTGTTCCTCTGGGCCGACCCACTGGGTGCAGGAACCCAACGCCAAGCGTGCGCTCCCCAGCAAGTGCGTTTGTCCAGCCGTAGCAGCTGAGAATCGCTTGCCCACCCACCCAGGCACAGCAGCGGTGAGGACAAGGCAGACATGCGGCTGTGGGGAGAGGCGACCTGGCCTGGGATTGCTCAGCTTCTGAAAAGGGCTCTGGGGGACAGAGGGCTTCCAGGGGATTAATGACAACAATCACAAATAGCACATATCGTGATTTAAAGTTTACAAAGTAATTTGCAACTATTTCATTTTATCCTCACCACCACCCTGGGAGGTAAGTGCTATTATTATCCCCATTTGATAGATGAGGAAACTGAGGCAGAGGTGAAGTGACCTACTCAGGGTCACACAGATAGCAAGTGTCTAAGGCAGAATTTGAATTGTAGTCTTCCTGATTCCAAATCTAAGTGTACCACCTAGCCCTAGGGTTCCTCGAGGCTATTCCATAGCGGTAACCTTGTAGGGTAGGGTGTAGACTCTGAGGGGTGCGCGTGTGTGTGTGTGTGTGTGTGCGCGCGCGTGTGTGCGTGTGTGTGTGTGTGTGTGTGTGCGCGCGCGTGCATGCATTATGGGTGGCGCTGGAACCAGGATGAGGGAGACAGGGGCAAACCCTCCTGGGACACAGCTGATGGGGAAGGGAGGGCAGGGCATGTCACGATTTCATGCTGCTGAAGGTCTGATTCCTGGGAAGGTGGAGGGTGGAGCACAGCTGTTGAAAAGGGGGGGGGTCTGCTAGGAAGGAGCTCACCCAGGACACGGCCACTGTTGGTGCCTCTGTGGCACCCTGGTTCAAAGCTCTGGTTGCCTGTCCTAGTTACGGCTTCATTGGTGGGGAGGATATCTAGGTCGGAGGATGTGACCGGTGTCCAGCATGTGCTGCTTGGGTGGGTCGTCGGTGCCTGGCCCATTTCTGGCCTCTGTGTCTCTACCCCCGCCTGCGATCTGCTGCCCTGAGTGCCCGCCCCGGTTCATGTGCCAGGTTAACGGCCAGGAAGACGCCCCCTTTCCTTGGTCACCTGTGTCCGTCCTGAGTCTTGCCCTCCCCGCCCTCGGGGCTCAAGTCTGGGGTAGAGGGATCCTAGCCTCATCAATTAGCGGCAAGAAAAACGCCCTCCCGGAATCAGGGCTAATTCCCATCCTATTTTTGTCTTCTTTTCTCTAGGAAGCAAACTGCTGATCTGGGTCCTCTGCTTGAACATCCAGTCCCGAGCAGATCCGTGCCCTGGGGCCTGCGTGTGCTACAGCGAGCCCAAAATCACCACCAGCTGCCAGCAGCAGGGACTGACAGCCATCCCCGCCGCCATCCCCGCCCAGAGCCAGCGCGTCTTCCTTCACAACAACCGCATCAGCCAGGTCGGGGCCGCCAGCTTCCGCTCCTGCCGCAACATGACCATCCTCTGGATCCACTCCAATGCCATCAGCGTGATCGAGGCCACCGCCTTCGCCGGCCTGGACAAGCTGGAGGAGCTGGACGTCAGCGACAACGTGAAGCTGCGCGCCATCGCCCCGGCCACCTTCAGGGGCCTCCGGCGCCTGCACACGCTGCACCTGGACCGCTGCGGCCTTCTGGAGCTGTCCCCCGGCCTCTTCAGGGGCCTCTTCTCACTGCAGTACCTCTACCTGCAGGACAACAACCTCCAGGCGCTCCAGGACGACACCTTCGTGGACCTCGCCAACCTCACCTACCTGTTCCTGCACGGCAACGGGATCCGGGAGCTGTCGGAGAACGTCTTCAGGGGTTTGGTCAGCCTGGACCGCCTCCTCCTGCACCAGAACCAGGTGGCCCGAGTGCACCCCAGGGCCTTCCACGACTTGGGGAAAGTCATGACCTTGTACCTGTTTAACAATAACCTGACCGTGCTCGCGGGGGAGACGATGGGCCCGCTGGCGTCCCTGCAGTACCTACGCCTGAACGGGAACCCGTGGATCTGTGACTGCCGCGCCAAGTCCCTGTGGGGCTGGTTCAAGCAATTCAAGGGGTCCTCTTCGGACCTCGAGTGCCGTCTGCCGCTGCGCCTGGCTGGGAAAGACCTGAAGCGGCTCCACAGCGCAGACCTGGAGGGCTGCGTGGACCCTGTCAACCAGGTGCGGTCGGGGACGAAGATCAGGCACGGCAAAGGACCCACCGTGGAACCCCTGCCCGCGGGGCCCCAGGACGTCCCTCTGAAGTGCTGCCAGCCGGAAGTGGACAAGTCTTTCATGTATGAAGCCACTGGTCACGGGGGACCCCCATACGGCGGACTTCCCGCTGGCAATGGCCGGAAGGACAAGGAAAATATGTCCAAACCCAAGATGGCAGAGTCGGACCCTGCCAAAAATGCTACCCAGAAGCACATTAATGACTCGCCCTTTGGGACTTTCCCCAGCAACGTGGAGATCCCCCTGACCAACTTCCAGCCTGACCTACTGGAGCCTGGGGAGTCTTCTGTGGCTCCCCCTCGCCGGAGGCCCGGCTGCTCGCGAAAGAACCGGACCAAGGCCCAGTGCCGCCTGGGCCCCACAGGCAGCAGCAGCAGCGGCGGCAGCGGCAGCGGCGGCGGCGGTGGCCCCAGCAGCGGTAGCAGTGGCCTCCTTGCACCTGCTAAGCCCCGCCTGGCCCTTGGCTTGGTTCTCCCAGTGGTCGTGCTCTGGACTTTTCCATGGTCCTGGTAATGGTTCCTAGGGAAGGATAGCACCTGCCACTGTGGCTGGGCAAAGCCAGAGGCTGGGGCCACAGCGGAACTGGATGCCTTTATAGAGAAACCAGGTGTATATAAAGTGCATCTTCCCAGCCCCTAAAAGGGGAATTAAAAGGGAGGGTGATGCCTGCTTTCCACAGAGGAGTCATTCTTGAGTGAGGTCAGGCACACATGAGACTTCTGAGTCATTTCCCCTGAGCTTCCCTGGCCCCTGACTCCCAGGCCCTTGAGGAAAAAGTTCTCCCCTACAGAATGTTTAAACACACACACACACACACACACACACACACACACACACACACATTATAATTTTTAAAACAACAAAAAAAGACTCACTCCAGTTGTTCCTAAGTTGGAATCCTCCCTAAGGATATTGCAAGTTCCCATTTGCCAAGGCGGTGTGTTTGCCGCTCTCCGGAAGCCTGTCTCTGAATATTACTGTCCGCCATCCCCATCTTGATCATGCCATGTTTACAGGGGGCATCGGTTCCAGAATGCTGCTTCCTACTCAGACTGCAGTCTATATAAAAATATACATTTTATTTTCCTTGTGTCAAAGTATAAAAAATATAAAATAAAGATTTCCTTTTCCTACACTGTTGACAATGTGCCTGTGAGGCAGCCTCCTCCGTTTGCCTGGTAACGTGGGTATTTACTCTGGTAGGTCAGGTTGTCACGAACATACTGCTATGGGGGCTCACTTGACTAACCCAGGCCCCAACCTATCAATGCCTCTCCAGATGGTTTCGTGAGTGGCTAGGGGCCAAAAAACCAAAATCCTTCCCTGGTGAAGCCTTAGACAGGCATGACAGACACATGGTCTATTTCCAGGGCTTTTTTGGAATCCTAAATCCCTAAAGGACTCACCTGCAAAAACCCAAGGTCTCCGTCATACCATGAAGATGCTAATAGCACCATAGGATTCCAAGCCAATGATAGTCTAGTCCAACCATATCATTTCACAGATGAGGAAACTGAGGACAAGGAAGTGAAACAACTATCCCTAAGTCTGCTCTGACTGGTCCTGCCAAGCTGAGGAGGCTTCAGATGTGGCTCCAGTGTTGGGTTCTATGTGTCTGTTGGTTGAGAGAACACCACCTATCATTTCCTGATCCCCAACAGCACTATTTTATCTCATCTGATTTCAGTTCCAATACTTCCCAGCTGAACTTCCTGGGGCCTCAGTTTTCTCATCTATAAAATGGGATGAAGAGACAGGGAATTTGATGATCTCCAAGGTCTCTGATGATAACCGTGGGCCTCTTGGGGACCTAGCTGGGTGAGGAGTACAGAGGTTATGATGCTCATTTTACAGGTGGGGAAACTAAGGCACTGACAGTGAAGCTCAGTGAGGCTTATCTCCCAGAAGGCTGGCTGCCGGTAGCTCACCAAGGTGGTCAGCTAAGGCATAGGGTGCATTTAGGGGAATGGGGGAAGGAAGTGGATTCTGACCTATTTCAGTCAAGGAGGGCTCCTACCAGATGAAACCAGGGGCCCATTTCAGAAATGAGTCCATGGTCCCAGCCCCCATCTTAGCACTGCTTCAAAGTATATTTTTCATTCAAGTTTTTTCTTTTTTAATTGTGAACTTAGAACAGTCACCAGCCATCACCAGCATTTCCCTAGTCAGAGAAGAGCCACCCAATAGATCAGTCATCAAAGGGTATGAAGTCCAAGTGATTAATAGCCAGATGGGAAAGATGCTTCGAATCACTAATCAGAAGAGAAATGAAAATTCAAAGACCTCGAGATGCTACCTCACATCTGTCAGTCTGATCAAAATGAAAAATGGCAGTTGTAGGAGGGGCCGGGGAAGGGCAGGCACACCGGGGTTTGTTTGCAAAGCACTCATCTCACAACGATGCTCTGGCATATGTACGGTGAAAGGATAACGACCTCCATCTTACAGGGAGGGAAACCGAGGCTCAGAGAAAGAGGTCACTTATTCTTGCTTCCACAAATGTGAAAGGGAGACATCACAAGTGCAGGAATCCTGGGTTTGGAGGGAGAGGTCCCAGGTTTGAATGCTACCCTGGATGGTCTCAGTCAGGTTAGCTTCCTCTAGCTCTCAGTTGCCTTGTCTGTCAAATTAGGGGTGGGGCCAGCGGATCTCCGAGGTTCCTTCCAGCCCCAGTGTTGGGAGCCGTGTTACAGGTGATGGAGCCCAGGGGCTGGGTCTCTGGGCTCCGAGACGTTTGCTCTTTCAATGATCGCTCCAGCCATGGTGGCATGTGGGCAGAGTGTGGCCTGCCCAGGGGTCTTGGTGGGTGAAGATAGGAACAGACACTGGCATGCCTCAGCTGCTGGGACGCTTGCAGAACTCTCTGCATTCTCCACCATATTTGAGCCTCTCAACAAGTAAGCAAAGCAGAGACTACAGGAGTTCTGTTAGCCCCCATGTTACAGGGGAGGAACCTCCCAGAGAGGAGGAAAGACTTGTCCAGAATGTCACAGAGTCAGGGTCAGGGTTTTCTGACATCAGCCTTAATGATTTCCCTACTCCTCAGGGCTTTTTTTGCTACAGGAAGGGCTGTGGAGAAGTCACAAATCCACCACTCATCCCTCAGTAAGAACCTGGGTGGCCTGGTGGGTGGAATGGAGGACTTGGAATCAGGAAGGCCTGGGTTCAAATCCAGCCTCAGATACTTAAGAGCTGTGTGATCCTAAGCAAGTCAAGTCCTCATTTTGGACCTCAGTTTCCTCATCTGTAAAATGGGATTAATATTAACACCTACTTCACCCAGTTGTTGTGAGGGTCAAGTGAGATAACGTTTACAATGCTTAGGGAACCCTACGGCACTCTATAAAAACTAGCTATTCTCCATTTAGTGCGTACTATGTTCCAAGCACCGGACTACGTCCTGGGGATACCAGTATAAAGGGGAAACAGTTCCTGCGTTCAAGAATCTTATAAACTAGCCAAGGGAGACAACATGGATATGTATTCATTTCAATAAACATTTCTTAGGCACCTACTGTGTGCCTGGCACTGTGCTAAGTGCTGGGGATACAAAAAGAGGCAAAAGACAGTCCCTGCCCTCAGGTAGCTTACATTCTAATGGGGTTTGAATGCAAATCCTCTGGTTCCAAAAGGAATTTTATTTCTACCACATCATACTGTCTTAGGAATCTGGAGGAAGACCAGTTCTGAAGAATGGTGGGGGGTCCGAACTGTGAGAGCCCTGGGTAGACCCCATCTGGAGTGCCGCGTTTTAGAAAGCATGCTGACAAACTGGAGACCATCCAAAGGAGGCAACCAGATGGTGCAAGCCTTGAGCTCATGCCACGAGAGGTTTACTTGAAGGGAGTGGGCATGCTGAGCCTGAAGAAAAGTCTCAGGGGAGACGTGAGAGCAGTGTTCTAGTATCTGAAGGGCTGTCGTTTGGAAGAGGGATTACACTGGCTTTGGCCGGCATCAGAAGGGAGGCCTGGGTAGAGGCAAAAGCAGGTAGATTCCAGGATCGATTTTGGGAAAAGCTTCCTGGACATCAGAGTTGGTCCAAAGTCGGCTGACTGCCCAGGGCTGTGGTAGATCCCTGCTCAAGGGACATCTTGAGCAGAGGCTGTGGGGTGTGTCATGGAGGGGATTTTTGGCTAGGCATGGGGCTGGACTAGATGCCTGTGGGGTCCTCTCCACACAGAGATTCTGTGATTATGTTTCTGAGAGAGATCTAGGGCCAGAAGGGACCTCAGAGAGCAATCTACTCCAACCTTCTCTTTTTACAGAGAAGGAAACTGAGGCACAAGAAGGGGAGGAACGTGGTGAGGAGAGGACATGCTCTGAAGACGAGGAACCCAAGGACCTGTGGAGAGTCAGTAGTGTGGACGTTGAGCTCTCTGAGGATAATGGCAGGAGAGAAGGGAGGTGAAGGTGCCTGCAAGCTATACATCCAAATGTGGCATGGCCAGAAGGACTTGGCTTGGGAAGGCTGATGTGAACCACAGGGGCACAGAGGCAGTTGGGTGATGGTGGAAGAGGGAGGCAGAAGTGGGGAACAAGGAGTTAACCACCTCTACCTGCAGGACCCGAGGGAAGAAGAGAGTGGGAGAAGAAAATTCCAGACATAGAGAGGGCAGCTCGAATCTGGGGCCTTGGTGTGAGATCAGAGGGTCGCAGATACGACAGGTGGAAGGGCCCTCAGCAATCACTGAGTCCCACTCCTCCATTTGACAGATTAGGAGATTAGAAGACGGAAAGTCAGCCAATCAACGAGCATTTATTAAGTGCTTGCTGTATGCCACGCACTGCATTGAAGGATCACACAAGTAGTAAGGCAAAGTGAGGATTTGAACCCAGCTTCTCAGACTCCAAAACCTCAAGGTTGTCATTTGGAAGAGGCATCAGACTGTTCAGGCTGCTTCTTACCCTGTACTGTCTTGCAAAGCCTTGTGCTGCAGACTGAAGAGGAGCTTGTGGACGATAGAACAGGGGTTCTATGGGGGGGATGGCAGGGTCCGAGGGAGGGATGGCGTGGGTGCATAAGGACGAGATTTGGGGATATGGGTTAGCATGCAATGGCCCTTGGGCTTGGAGCAGTGACCACAGATCAGGGTCTCAGGATGGGAAGGGGAGGGTGAGAACCCAGCAGCTGGAACAGGCCCAGGTGTTCCTGGCTCCCCACAGAAGGTGGGGGGCCTGGGGGGTCTGGATGGAGCTGGGGCTGGGGGAAAGAGCCAGGGGCAGATGGGGGCTTCCACCAAAGGCGGAGCCTGGGTATCAGCTGAAGATACTGGGGATGTTTACCCTGGAGGAGAGAAGATGTGGGGAGATCCGGGAGGCCCTGCAGTATCTCAAGGGCTCTTGTGTGGAAGAGGTCTTCACTATGAATGTTTGGCCCCAGAGGAGAGAACACAGAGCAAAGCACAGAAATCTCAGGCAGGAAGACTGTGGCTTAGTGGAAGTTAAAACAATTTGCTAATAAGGAGATCACTCCCAAGAGGATAGGCTGCCTCGGGAGGAGGTGAGCTCCCTGTCTTGGGAAGTCTCTAAGCAGAGTCTGGATGGCCCTTTGTCAGGGATGCCCAGAGGGGCCTCCTGCCTGCCTGGCATGCAGTCATGCTTAATAAATGCTCATTGACTGACTGGTGATGGGTTGGGATGAATGGTGGTCAAGGCCTCTGCTCCGTCACTGAGATTCTAGGACAGGAGGCGGTGTGGATCTCAGTGCTTTCTGAACTCCCCAGATGTGCTGTGTCCACAGAATTTAGTGTGTACAGTCCGGGCTCTTTTACATGGGCATCAGGGCAATGGAGCTGGCTAAAAGAGACTCCCATGCAGGGGAAAAGGTCAAAACCTTCTTGGGGGGTAGAGCCTCGCTCTGAAAATGAAATTGTCCCACGGTCTCTGGGCCTCAGTTTCCTCTTTTGTAAAATGAAACTCCAGCTCTTACAATCTCTTACAATCTATATACTCAAGTGCCTTCTAGTGCTCCAGGAAGCTAGGGGATGCTGCAGTGCAGAGACTGCTGGGCCTCGAATCAGGAAAACCCGAGTTCAAATCCCACCTTAGACAGTTGCTAGCTATGGGACCCTGGGCAAGTCACTTAACCGCTGTTTGCCTCAGTTTCCTCCACTGTGAAATGGGGATAAT